TCATGCAATACCCCTTCCCCCGTTATTTCCACCAAGGCGGCATAATCGACAGATCCTAATCTTGCCTAATATGCTGCTATCCAGACTTCTCACTCAGACAGATTGCTTGTAATCAAATGTGATATATCATATGAATACTGATTCTATATGGAGCCATTTATTTATGTCTCCTTGTTTCATAATTGCTTTACTTATTCCATTACATTTTATAGTATTACTGCATTCATACATGTCTGGGTTTTCTTTTTTTAATTACAAATTACATTAAACTATGTTTATTTTACAATTATATCATTCATACTCGTGTGTATACACATTCGTAATGTACATTGTTTTATAATTATTATGTACTGTATATAATTGATGGTTCAAGAGCAGATTTTATGCTATAAAACATTTTGTAATTTTTTATTCCAAAAGGACACAAATAAAGAAATCTTACAACTTGAAACTGTGTTAGGCCTTTGGGGAAAAAAAACCTGTTGTATGCCCATATATAGTCATGATGTGCCTATATATGGTCATGATGTGATGTCATCATGACCATATTTAGGCATGTCACATGTTTTTGACAAATAAAATTTGATAGTTTGATAGCCTCTCATCAGAAATGAAAACTTTGAATAATATCATTTATTAAAAAATAATTATAAATTGTTCAATAAAAATTACTATATGGGAAAAGATTCATAGTACAACATTTTTCTTTTTTAACACAGTTTTAATTACTGTATACAAACAACAAATAACAAATTGACTCAACAAATTGCTTAAACTTTTCAGTTTTATTTCAACTTACACACATAAACAAGAGAGGAATTTCACCAAGATTTCAAGAGACATAAGCTTCTTCTACTGGACCTGAGAGTAGGCCTAAAATATATAAAACACAAGAATCTGTACAATAATTGATTCCAACACACTTTTCTGCCCAATTAGTTCAACTTCTACGGGCTTAACAGGGCCATGTCAAATGGGGAAATTCCTTGATAAATAATTCTAAACCATAATGGAGCTGCTCTCTTCTAAATGGTTCTGATGTATTGTGGAGTTCAGTAATGGTTGAGTGTTCTGAAAATATTTCTCTGATGGAACCAAAATAAAATTGAAAATAATTGATTTAGTTTGAGACTGCCCCATTTGACATGGTTTCATAACAAAACATGAATTTTTCAAAACATATATTTTTTATCAAATAAGATGGACATGGGCAAGAGGAAATAAAAATTTCACTAGCCTTATAACTGGCAAGCATTGAGTGTTCTATCAATCTGTTAAAACGACTTAAAAATCCATTCTTATAAGATTTTATTTGAGCACCAAAAACTGACCATTTTTAAGAGAACAATAATATTTAGTTTTTAAAACAAAATCATTTGACTAAACAGAATTTAGAACATGTTTTTTGGGGAAATAATAAACAGTCCTACCCCTACCCAACAACTACTGGATGTCTATTACTTAAACCGTATCTTACATTCTTCAAGGAAAAAATACCAGATTTCTTTCTTAGTACACAGTAATTAAAAAAAGCTTAGCACAAATTGAATTCAACATCTTCGTATTTAAACAGTGAATATATAAAGAATGTGCAAACTGTAAAAATAATAATACATTTCATAGAACACAGAAGGAAAAATTTCATAATAGAATTTAGTAAACTAGTTTTCAGTTTGGATCGTTACGCTAGACATGGAATTGGCATTCTATTGTTTTTTTAATAAACATTATTCTCAATGAGAATTAAAATTTACACAAAATAAAATTGGGAGGCCTATGATGGTTAACGCACCTGAATATGTAGGCCTACCTGTTCTTGAGGAGACAATTAACCATAAAACAACCAACACACCATAGAAATGTCCCTTAAAAAATACCATCTTTCTCATCTATCTACTAGATTCAGTTCTAATGAACAGATATGAGGGTAATGGCATGATTTTAGGATATAAGACTGTTCTATTACTGTCAAGGGTTGCTATAATAAAGCAAAACATGCATAAATTGTGATGCAAAGAGCTTCTATGCATAAACTAAATTGGTTTCAACTTGGAAGTCCCAATGCAGGTGGTGGTAAAATAGATTTTGAAATTTGTAGGCAATTCTAATCATCTATGCCATTATTGCACTTAATTGGTTTATACAAAAAAATATAATGTTAAATTCTTAATCCCTTTGTGAATTACAGGACTCTACCATCTTTGAACAAATACACTGTCGTACTAATTGCAAGACAATTTAGAAAAAAAAATACTTAAAAAACCTTACAAATAGTTATCGATAGCTTTACACCAGTTTCTAAGATGTAGATGTTTACAAGAATCCAGTAGATATGGTTGCTTAGCAACCGTTTAACAAACGTTAACTACATGTCCACACTGTACATAGGAAGGCAGAATTTAGCAGAAAAAATGTTACGGCAAATATACAACCAATTTATTAACCATACTTCTAACAAAAATCTTTTTGAGAATGCGCTCAATCTATACATTTCAAGAGCACCAAGTATTATAAGATATAAGATTAGACACAGCTTCATGGTCTATCTACAACACTGTTATACAATAATACCGTAATGCTCTCACCGAAATTTACAACATGTAAGTAATGGTTTCCTGAGATATGTTTTTGAATAAGGAATTTGTCATTAATCCTAGATTAATTATATATTAACCTAAAATAGAGATCGTTTTTGTCTATGGCTACACTTTTAGTGTATCAAACTACTTTAGGGCATTCTCAAAAAAAAAAGAAAAAAGAAAAGACAGAAAATAGATTACCTAATGGTAAAAAATTGTAATGTTTTTTAAATTCAGTGTGATTTTCGTCTAATAAATTTTCTTCCAAATGTGTGGATTTTTCTGTCTGTTCATCAAATACAAATTTTAAAGTATAAAGAGGACAGGAAATGGAAGGCTTAATTTCATAGAATAAAATTCAAAAAGGAAGCAATCATTAGATTATCAAATTTTCTTTGCCTATTCATGATGTGCCTAAATATGGTCATAATGTGATGTCATCATGACCATATTTAGGAATGTCGCATAATTTTTTCAAATAAATTTGTGTAGTGTGGACAGGGCTATGGTAGGGTTAAATAGTACTTGCCAGTTCCGAAATGCATCACAAAATAACAAGATAGAAATGATAGCGTTAAGATGCTATCAGTTTTTTTAAATATCACACTGTACTCCCATGCAAGATTATAGTAAAACAAGTTTTATGTGAAGATCTCAACATTCACAGCCACTGATCATCTAAAGTTCAATGGGTTTTCCAAGTTATAACATTCTATAGATATTTAATCTCAATAAAAGTTTCCGTCCTAAAAAATATGTAACTAGTATACTTTTCAAGGCTCAACCACAGTATTACAGCTGCTTTAAAAATAAATCAATGATATAAATCTTTTTGTTCCTTGACTATTGATAAAATTAATAATACAAATAATATGAATTGCAGCATTGTTTAAGCTTTTATTACATCAGCACTTGATCATATTTTTTCAATTTTTTGAGGTGGGAGAATGCCACCAATTATGAATTAGTCCAGAAATCATTTTTAAGAGGTTTTTGGTATTTTTGTGTTTGTTTTTTTAGGTTCCACAGTTAATTTGACATTACATTTTATGGTTTAATATTCTAATTTTATATATACTGTATCAGGGAGTGGTGATATGTATTGTGGGGTACTAGTAAGAAAGATATTATTTTCCTGTGTGTCTTCTCTTATTACATCAATCTTTTTTTCACATGTAACCCACACCACATACAGTACTGACCTTGGCCTTCAGTTGGGTGATTCCCATTTAAACAAAATAAAGGAAGGAAACAATTTGTTTATACTTAATGAGATTTCACTTTTTTTATAATAAGGCTTAAGGGAAAATGATTTAAGGTTACAGTTTAAGTTCCATTAATTATAAACATGGTGCAACTTCTATATGTTGTTAAAATACAGTACTATCATAAATACAGTAATGTAATAACATTTGGTTTTCTTTTGAAAAGGAATTGTATTTAGAACACACTAATGAATGATGATAAAGGAAATTGTTAATAAATTCTGCATATGAAATCAATAACAAATAAGTAGCTGCAATATGATAACAAGGTGGTTAAATTAAGGTTTGAAAGAGAATACTCAGCATACTATCAAATACAATTTTGAGTAAATGTATGAGCCCATCAGGACTTGAACCAAGGCCCTAAAACTACAGTTCGGGTGACCATTACAGCCATGTTGATATACATCCTTGGATAATCATGAAGGAAATTTTAAAATTTAATTCAATTAACTTGATATTTCACTCAATGTATACAGTAAGCATACTTATAAATCTATATATAAAAGTATACTTATAATTTTTATAAGTTCGGTTACCCTCCCAACTCCATCCCTTGTATACTAACCAGTGAGCATATTGTACATTTATTTAAAAATTACTGATTGTCAATAAACCTATTGGCAAATTCTAAAATTTGATCCAAACAATAAATTATCAATAATGAATAACTTTATATTCACTTGGAAGATTTAGTCATACACATATCCTATGGCAAAAGTACAGTTTCATAACAATTACAGTAGCTTACTGTAGAATAGACTATACAAAAAAAATGAATTTCAAATAAAGAGTACTTAAGTTTCTGGAAAAAAGATGATCTTCTATGCTAGGTAGTCATACAAAACATACATTATTCTACAATCTAAACCAACATTTCTTTACCAAACTACAAAAAAAAAACTATTGTGCATAGCACATTATACTGAATGGTATCCATGTCAACCATACCTATAGCACACTTATTAGATATTTCCTTTGTAGATCTCAAATATTTTTTTTCAGATTTTTCCCCAAGTTTTTAAATACAGTACAAATAGCATTATGAATAAATAAATGTCTTTTAAAAAGAAAAGAAACACACATTTGAGTTATAACTGTAAACTTTAAACAATTAAACCAGTTTTTCAGTCTACTTAAAAAAATTAAAATATTTCACTAATTTTGGGGAAATTGGTTATAATTTTTAATTTAGTTAAAAAGACTTAAAATCCCAATATCTCTTGATTTTCAGGAATAATTAATTTTTCATTTAAACATACATTTTTAAATTATTTATGAATAAAATATAAATACATAGAAGTAATTATAAATAATTTTCTGACCAATCAACAGTTGGTTTAGTTTATTTAAAGAATATTCATATGACACAATGACCTTAATTCATGTGGTTGCATTGACCATTCTATCCATCTCCTTCAGAGGGTCACTTGCTATGTTACTAGGTGTGTACATCTCCCTAAAGTATTGCTGACTAGGCCTAAATGCAGACACGTTGGGTTTAATATCTTTGAGGAATTTGCCCATTTTGACTGGCATTAGAGATTTGCTACCAGAGACACCAGTGGTATTCGACACTAGCTTGTCTATCTCGCTGAGAGGGTCGGACATACAAAACGGGTCGTTGCTATCCTGAGGCCGGATGTACTGAACAGGGCCAGTGTTTTCATGTTTTTTCCTTGTCAAAGTTTTAGAAACTTGCTCCTCTTTTATACTAATTTTAGATTTAACACTAGTTGTAGTGGTCCTTATTTCGTAATTTCCATTTTCTTCCCTCGTCATTGGAATTTCGCTGACAGACGTGACAAGTTTGTCCAATGGACTTTCAGTTTTGCGAAGTTCTTCTCTGACAGGAGATGACAAATTTTGCGGAAGAGGATCTGAACAGTTTTGTTTTGCATGATCTTTTGCATCAGTTTCCATAGGCTCGGATGGTTTTTGAACATCGATGGATCGCCGTACGATAACTCCCGATCCAGGCTCAGGCCATATTCTTACCGGCTCAGATTTGACAGATAGTTTATTAATTGAGTCATCTTCATAGTCAGACTCATGGCTACTAATGTCATTTTTCCCCTGAACATTTTCAACTGACCCGGTCGCTCGGCGTGAAAGAACAGACAAGGGACTATAACGGCAGTTTGAATCATGCGGTGGGTGGATACTATGCTTAATAGTTTTATCCTGCTCAATTTCATCAGCCTTCTCTGCATCGGTGTCGTCTGAGTCATTGACAAGTTTCTCAATCAGGGTATTAGCGGTGTACATACTCCCATCAATCATCTTATTGCTCGATTCAAGGTCAACATCCGTTGATTCAGTCTTAATACTTGGTGTATCTTTCTCCTCTGAATGGCTGCTCTCAATATCCGTCTTATCAGACATGGTCTCCTGAGAGTTGCTTCGATTCATGCGGCGAAAATGCATACGTTGGGCCGAGTACCACTTGGGTAATCCTGTTAATGTACTGGGGATTGTTCTGACCTCATCTTCTATGTCATCCACAGCTCGTGTCACCCACCTGTCCACGTTACTGGAAAATGCACGTTTCTCAAAGTTCATCTCTTTTGCTGTTTGCACCATACATGCTAGATTTCCTAAGGGATTCTCAGACATTTTGTCTGTATTGACCTTCGACCCTGTTGGAAGTATCACAACAAAATCATCGGGGTCAACATATTTCTTAACAGGTGCATGGACCTGAGCTTGTGAGCTCATAGAGGGCGGTACTTCATTATGTACAAACGAGTAAAGCTGCTGTATGGAGTTTTCCTTCGGTAAGTAATCCGGAAGAGGCATGCTCTTCGATTGGTTTTTGACTTCCTGATGGTTATTGGAACTTCTTATTGTTGGCTCTAATCTGTCATGTTTGTTATCTGTATCTTCCTGGCAACCCTCATCAACATCCGGGCTACATTTGACCTTTTCACCATTGTACTGTGTATCTTCCTGCCCGGGTCTATTAGTGCAGTTGACGGACAGCTTGTTAGCAACCTGTTGCTGAGTACTCATCAATTTCAAATGAGTAAACGTGCCATTGCCTGTCAGCCGCTGTTGCATCGTTTTCCACGACGGTTTCTGATCTGGAATATGGTTAAGGTAGTGCCCTGATTGTTTCATGTGTGCAGAGAGTCTTTGAATGTTCGTAAAAGTGTGAGTACAACGAGTGCATCTTAATGGTCGACCTTTCCGCCAACTCAAGCCATCCATTAAGTATTTTTCACTGCAAAATTGATCATCGGATTGGCACCGGTCCTCTGCGTCTGAGTCTGACGGAGACCGTTGCCTGTTTGCGTTCGATTCGGAGCTGTGCAATGGCTTTTGAGCTTTTAGCGGTTGACAGGCCAAAATTTCATTGTTTTCTGACATGTTTGGCACCTGACTTATTACTTGGAAATTTGGCGAATCACGCGATATAACACATACTTTATCCGGTATCATCAATCCTGTTGGGCTATCACCTGTATCCATTAAATCATCCTCATCATCATCCATATCTCTTCTTACTGCAGCAGTTACATCCTCAGTCCGGTGAGAGTACCCACTTTTGTGGCCGGGAACTTTGTTGTAATGTTGTGTCCGTAGCATATGCATGGTTAAGTCCTCAAGGTTAGGAAAAGATTCACGACAAACGATACATTTCATGACCTGCGCAACCGGTATTTCCTCTTGGAAAGCACCGGTTTCAAGTTTTGGTCTCGCTTCGAATCCTTTATTTGATAATTGCTGCTTCATATCATGTTTTGTTTTACTGAGATGAACAGTGTATTCAAAAAAGTCGCAAAATGACCGGCCACAAACAGCACACCGATAAGTACATACATCGCGTGTGCGAAAACCTCCCGGTGGTTTCGGTCGTCTGCGTAAAGAGCAGGTGCTGAATAAGTTCCCTTTAGGTGCCATCATGACATTATAACCACGCTCTTGTAACAATTGAGTGTTAACAGACTTCATGCTTTTGTGGCCTGTAGCTATAAGGTGAATAGATAGCATACCTATATTTGGAAAAGCTTGATAGCAGTCCGTGCACAAAACAAAATTTCCCTGATCAGAAGAGGTGCGGTAAAAATTAACTTGAGGTGGAAGAGCATTGTAATCGCTGGGCATCTTTGAAATATTAACTAGTGCTTCTTTCGGTATTAAGTTATGATGAACAGTTTTTTTGGAGTCTTTATCATGATTAGTGTCAATTGATGGAGAGCATCTTTCCTTTGATTTTAAACTACTATCATGGTTGCGTTGCACAAGCATATGTTCTACAGGACTTCTGTTCTGTGGACTTTTGCTGGAAGGACTTCGACATCTGAACATAAAGTCAGAATTCATTTTATCAGAAAAGCCACTTTCACTATGTGTTCTTTTAAGACTCAGATCCAAAGCAACCACTTGTTCCGGGTCTGGAAGTTTACCTCCTTTTCCTGATGCCTCATCATCGCGCCGTGATTTGACGGTAAAATCCAACGGTATATCTTGGGTAGGCACAACTTGTTCTTTATCTTTAAAAAGTTCTTTTTTGAAGTTGGCAGATGAAGTCTCGCCAACCATAAGTGATAAGCTCCGTAGCGGTGATTCAACAATTGGCGGTGTTTGAGGTGTTGAAGCACGAGTTGAGTCCGTTTCCAGTTTCTCCTCGTCGCTGGATATATGATCATCATCCTGGTCATCATCTGACTCCTTACCAGCTGAAAAGAAATAAAATAGTTAATGTTATTATAATTTATGTTAATTTTATTTCTTGATCTAACAGCATGTACAGTATGTCACTAATTACAGCATTGAATTAACTACCGTAAATGATGCCCTAATGCTCATATAATAACATGAGTGAATGAATAAATAAATGGATGAATTGATTGTTTGATAATGATTGGATTAAAATCTATTAATCTGTAGTATTTCAACCCAGAGTAGATTCATATGCTCAAACTCAAAGTTACGTTTTCACTTCAATGGCATAGTTTTTTTATTAAATAATTATAACTTATTATAATTAAACATAAAATGCATGTATGGATGAGTGAATGAATGAATAAATGAATGAATTAATATAATTATACTGTATCTAAGTAATATTTTTATGCTGCATTACTAATTTCCCACAATGATAATAAAATGTAGTCATCAATTAAACCTTAAAACACCAGAAACCAAAAACTATTTTGACTACAATATGGCCAGTTATAGCATAGAGAAAGACAAAAATTTCTTTCTCATGGTTATAGACACACAGTTTACAGTATCATAATCACTGCAGGTGTTTTTTTTTTACAAAATTAAAAGGTTTCACAGTTGGTTTCTTCCATTATAAAATAAAATAATAACAATTTAATGTGAATGCTGATGATGTGTAAATCGTATTCAATAGATACGTCTACCACTCAAAATCACAATAAAAGACACTTGAATTAACATGCAGAATATAAGTGCAGCAAAAAAGGCTTCCTTGATGGCACAACGCTACATAATTGTGCATATTAAGATCACATCTACGGTTCAAGGATCAAATACTTCTCAACTCAACCATTTTTATGATTAGAAAACGACTTAAGGAGGAAGAGACCATCATGTCCTAGCATCACATCATTCGTCAGTGTTTTGTTGGTGATAATTATGATGAGTTGTGTTTCAAATGGCGTTTTTTAGCAGCGTAGATGTACCTTATGTACACTACAGTGTGCATTTGATTACAGGTACCGTACACCAGTGTAATAATTATAGGTAATGTATGCCAAACTAACATATGCTGGCAATTGATACCGATCTCCCTGTCAATCAATGTCAAAGTTGCTTGTCAATAACTGACATGCAGGTGAGTAAATAAAAAAGCATCTATGCTTCCATTATTTGCATACTCTTTTGACCATACAATAAAGCATTACACATAAAAAATTCCTAAACCATACACAAAACATTTTTTGGTGTATTATGAATTTCAATATATTCAAGGATATTGCTACGGCTATATTTTTTTTTGCATATTTTAAATTGTTCAAGTATAAACAGATTTTTATTTTTAACACTAGAAATTGTAGACAAGACGATAGCAGTGTACCATGAAAATTTAGTACTGTATTCAGCATACCAGTTCCTATATAGGTAAATTATACTGATTGACTTGGTAGACTTTGTAGCTAGAGGACATAGAAAGCAAATCGAACAATATCCCCAAACGAATAGAACAAAACACAATGGTTGACCACTACCACTGAGGTATAAAATTAATATTATTAAACAAATAATAATTTAAAAAAAATATATATTATAGTGCAAATTATAAAACAAATGCACTTATATCAAGGTACTGAAATATAATCACACTACTGTCGTCGAAGATTTCCCATTTTCTTACTGTATACATTCAATCAAACTAGCATGAAGGGGTAATTTATGGGAACAGTACATAACGCTTTGCTTTCTCTTGCCCTGTAAACTGCCCTCGTCCTAGCCGGTGAATTGGTCTGTAATATCAAGCAATTAAATAATATTCTACATCAACCAGGAGTAATTTTTAAAAATACACTACAGGGATTTAAGGTCTGTTATCTATCACTTTGTTTCTCCTATTTCTTTTTTTTTTGGCAAAAACATATTTTGATTTCTTACTGTAGTTTAATATCCTAGTACTCATTTATTTTTAATTTTGTTCAAGGTTAGTACTGTAATCCAAGCTTACAAAAGCCATGTTGCATGTTTCTTTTGTTTTTTACACCAGAAAAAAACAAAGCATTTTGTAGAGCACCTGGTAAATACAGACTTACCTTGCCTAATAACAAGATTGTTTGCATGAATGATGGTGGAAGAAAAAAAATTGATATTCATCCCTTAACAGGAACTAAAAAATATTGATTTTTATTTCCAACACAATAAAAATTTAAGGAGTATATAGTTGGAAATGATTTCTAATTAAGTTAAAGTATTAAAACCCATCCAGGTGAATCTAAGGGCAAGGTACTTTCTCCAGCCCAGATGACCTTTCACACTGACAACTAATTACATATTCATAACAGAGCCAATGGAATGGCAACAGTAATAAGCGTGGACGCTTCTGTTACAACACAACAACCAAACACAGTCTTCATGTCAAGGTTCCTCATGCTCCTTGTCAACATCAATTCGAAGAGGAGGCCGGCAATCCTAGTGGAAATGTACCCGATTTCCTGAGTCCCAAAACAACGACCAAGATATGTCATTTCAAATGCGATTGAGTCGTGTCATAATAGAATTAAAAGTCAACAGAATCTCTTTGACAACTTAGAGTGTCAGTTTACGCAATAATTTCCATTCAAAGAGATGGATATGGTCACATGACCAAATTGCAACTGCAATTACTCATTCGTTGTAAAACATATGGCCACAGTAACTTCAGTTTAAACTTTATTTGTACAATCAATAAATTTAATTTGATAATCTGTTTTGAATTGTATTTTGTAATACCGGGCACCAGGGTGCCTTCAGACTCTATACATACTCTAGAGCATTGTTTTTGAAATAGAAGCATCCTCTCCTTAGCAGAAAAGGACCCAGATATATATATTTTTTAACACCCCCTTAATTATGCTATAATTGAAAAAACTTCACAACAAAACTCATGAGAGGATCTGTTTTTTCGCAGTATACTGTAATTTAATGAAGCCTATGGCATTTGGTTACTGTAGCTATTTGAAATTAAGATTATCATTTTGGTCTACAGGAGTCATTGCTCGTAGAGGCCTGGCCGGGTTGACGAAAGCCTTCTTTTCCCCCACCCCCTCCCTTGCTGATGCTGTCACTATTGCCAATTAAATATATTATCTGAGCTGAATAAAATAACCAATGATTGAAATTGCTTACTTTGTATACAGTATTGAAATATTAATAAGGTACTGTAAGTTATTAACTTCAATTGCAATTTGCGAGAAAATATTTCATTGCAAACAGTACACAAATAATATCATTGCATTCTTATATTTTTTTTTTTGCAGAGACCTTCTATTCATGGTTCCAGGGCTTGTTATTTGAAAATGGCGGTTAGCAGTAGGCAAGCGATTACCTGGGAAGGAGGAAATGTAAACTTCTGTGGAATAGTTTAGTGTACACATAATTACTACTGCAGTCATCAAAGTTGTTTAGAGTTCAAAAGAATACAAAATACATCCCAGCAGAAATCATAGCCACAGTAGTATTTGGGGTTTTTACTAGATTTAAGGTGAGTGATTTTCAAACACAAAGCTGCTCTATTTTTTACACCCTTGAAGAGGATTTTTTGTGAGTGACGGTGTGCAAGTGCAATCGCTTGCCTCAAATCACAAGTGGTTCCATGCATTAAACTATAATTGGCTGAAAATGAATTAGAGAATATTTTTTAATAAAAAATCTGTAAAAAGAAATTGGTTTGATCTGGAACATAAGACTATTGTAATTTGAAGATTTATTTGATTAATCTTTTATGGAGAATTCATTTTTTAATTGATTTTTTATTAAGTTTTTGTCCAAATTTTACCACAATCTCTTTAAAATTATTATACAAAATACATACTGTACATATTTTCAAGCATAAAAAAGATAAAACTTTGATTTATCACATAAAGAACTGTGTATCGTAACAAATGAGTTTTTGAGTAACAACTCATATACGTCTTCGGTCAAAGTTTTGAGTGATTGAACTTAATGCTGTTTTGATGTAACTATAATGAAGTGAAATTCTAACCTCTAAACTCTACACAACATACAAGCTCTTGACAAATAACTAGCTAAATATAGTAATAACTGTTCACTTTTATTAGAGAATATTCTTGATGAACAAACGTTTGATCAGGTCTCAGGAAATTCTAAGCGAAAAATCCCGCTACACAGGAAGAAGTGATAATAAAAATGCACGACAACAAAAATTAATATTTCAGACTTTTTTTTTCATAGCAACAGTTTCTACAAGGAATTTTTTTTATGCAAGTAATCATGTGATCGAAGAAACCTGTTGGCTGCGAAAGATACAATATAAGAGTATGTGATTCGCCGAGTGTCTGTAAACACCACAGACATGGGATTTCAATGTAATCAATATTTGGTTTCTGTCAGCTTTGAGGGTGTCATTTGAGGAAATCATGAGAATGTCAGAATATCTTAAATTTGATATAAAACTTGGGTGGTTCTGCAGTCCCCGAGGATTGGGAAATTTACTTAAAGTTCATTCTAAATTTGAAGATCAGCCAGAACACTTTCATGTGCAAAAATTAAGGTGAACATTTTTACACTTTTTCAGACTTAATTTAATGGCTTTTCTAGAAAAACTACTGTATTAGAAGATAATAAAATATTGTAGAGTATATCAAGATTTGTACTTTCATGTTATTAAATGAAACATTACATAATTGGCAGTGAAATTATTTAATATTATTAATAGTTAAATATGTTTTTTATTTATAAAATAGATTATTTGGCAGCCCCTATAATGTTATTAGACAATAGGGTTAAGTTTTGTTCAACCAGGAAAAAGTAGGCTTTACACTTTGCTACATTTCAGAAGCCTTGATTAAATGATGTACTGTAATCGCATAGTATAGAAAATAGAAATCTTTTCTTTATTCTGTATCATTAATCAATTTCACACTGTTCTTCCTTAAGGTCCAGTTTAAAACATGTATAAAATATAAAATAAAATTAAGGAATTATATACAAAACCAATGAAAATTGGTAAACATAAGAA